CCTCCCCCACACCTGTGCTAGCCGGCTTAAGTGTTATTTAGTCGTCAGTCATTAATGAAGACGCTCACACTCTGCGGCTGTCAATCACATGCGCGCGTGCGCCCGCTCGCTCAGGCGGATGCGAGCGGGACCGCCAAAGTTCGCGCACTCGCGCAGGTACAAGCAGATGCGCCACATCTGACACGTCCACGCTCGTACTCGCGTTCAGGCAATTGCGCGCACGAGCACACGCAAACACAAACGCACACATGCACCTCAAATTCCACACGTCGACACAGACTGGCGCAACCGCGCGCACGCGCACGCCAAGAGAATTTTTGGGGGACTTTTGGGGAGCAAAACGAGCATGTCGACATGAAGTGCACGGGCGTGCGCGTGCCGCATTCGCAGTTTGCCACTTTGAGGTGTATACACGCCTTCCAAGTAGAAATGCGGTTTTGCCGTTTGGATTCTTTTTTTGGGAGCAGGCTTGTTCTTGAGATTTTTTCCAGTTGTGCTTCATTTTAGTTTCGGTCTTGGCTTGAGTGTTTTTTCACATTCGGTACTTGTTGAGTGCAACATTAAAACCACGACGAGAAGAAGAAAAAGTCTCGTGTCCCAAACGACCCTTTGACCTTCCATTTTGTCGATGGACCTACAGAAATACAAAATCAATACGATCCCCAAAAGCTCACGGGTGATATAAATGCAACCGCGAGTTTCCTCCGTTTTTTGGTGGGGTTTTTTTTTTGTTCGCCAATTTAGCGGTGGCGATTTATTTTATAAATCGGCGCCGACAGGAAGTTTTGCGGGGCGTCCTCGCCCGGTTGTGTTGAGGGTGTCGGAAGGCAGGCCCCGCCCGTGTTTTGGATTGGAAAGCGGCACGCCGGGGCCTCGCCCCGCTTCCCCCCGCGCCACGCCCTCTCTTCGCCAGCCGCCTCCGGCTTGCTCACTTCCTGCGGTCGTCATGGAAACGTCAGCAATGCCGTGACAGCGACTGCGCTCCCGCTTTTGTCGCGTGTGCGACACCGCAAACTGTCTTGACTTTGCCGTTTGGAGAATTATTTGGGGGAAAAATCTCATTCTTGTCTTTCGCGCCACCACCAGGCGCTCACCACTCACACATTTTTTGACACCGCCACGTGGCGTGTGTGGTGTGGTTTTTGGTTTCCGCCGGCACCTTGGCAGCACTTGTGCTGTTTTGTCAGAAGTGTCGTCACCTCGGCAAATGTGACAAGGGCTGGATAACAAATGCCTGGTTACCATGGCGACCCCTCTCGCAGCGAGCGACTTGCTCCAGGGAGCCTCGCCGCCCGACTCCTCCGTCCCTTTTCCGCGGACGAGCGACGGAGGAGTTGCCAGCGGCGTTTGCGGCGTCCCGCCCGGCGCCGTTCACGCCGCGTAACACCTCCGCGTGGGCGCGGCGCGGCAGAAACGCCGACGACGTCAAGAAAAACGGTGACAGGAAGCGGCGGCGGCGGAGGCGCCTCCCTTCGAGCGACCTGATATGTTGCGCAAATTGCTCACACGGCCTCACCCGAGCCCCTAGCGGGCGGCAGCGACGTTTTCCAAACAAAGCCACTGCGTCTGCATTTGCATGTCGCCGTTCGAGATGCAAACGACGCTTCTTGTGCTTGCGGCCAATCGGCCGGTGGCGTCACGTCGGGTGGCTCGCACGTTTGATGAAAGAAGCGGTCGCCGGCTGACCGACGCCGGAAGATCTCAAGTGGATCCCAAGTGGCTCGTCTCTGAAGTCAACGAGAAGCGGATCTCAAGCGGGGCCGGTTTTCTTCTCAAGCCGGGCGTGGCCAAAACCAGCTTTGAGTTTCTTATTTGGAAGAATTTGTCACCGTTTGCCAAACTGCTGCTTGTTGGGGATCGAATGCACCGCCGCCATACAGCACCCGCGCGCGAGTCGAGGCAAAATCAAGAAATACGTCGGGCAAGAAATAACCTGAGCGAACGTTGGGATTTCCGGGCCCCGCTTCACACGCTGCGAACAAACGGCAACGTGGGCACAACTCTGGAAACGTGGCTCCTCTTCAAGAAGACTTTGAGTGAGAGGCGCTCTCAGAGGTGTTTGTTTTTGTCCAAGGTCGGGCCATATGGCGCCGGCCGGCCGGCGGCAACCTTGACACTGACCGCTGGTGCCCCCGCCGCCGCCGCCGCGACAGCACACCTCGCTGCACGACCGCAGCATCGCACCCGCACGCCGCCAAACAGATGGACGGAAGCGGAGAGCGCTACAAGCTCAAATGTGCCGGCAAAAAACACACACGCTGCAAAAAAACACACACGTTTGCGCTCTGCACTTGTGCCAAATAAGTGTGCGTTGATATAGCTGCGTGTGTGTGTGTGTGTGTGTGTGTGTGTGTGTGTGTGTGTGTGTGTGTGTTGATGCAACTTCAAAGGAGAATAATTACATTTACTATGTAACGTTTGCATCATGATTCCAGCTCTAAATCAGGAACCAATCAACTGAACGTGCGTGTGTGCAAACGAAAATGCGGTGTTCAATGACGAAACGGCGGCGGCGGCGGTGCGCACGGGCCGCCTGCGGGGGAAGGAAGTGGATCGAAGAGCGATCGATGACTTTGAAATGGATCGGCATCCATTTCAATCTGAGCAAAAACGATGATGACGATCATGATGACGAAGAGTGTGATGAAGATGAAGAGATGACTCGCCAAGTAGCGGGCGCACGTCACCAGCCCAAGCCCTCGTCCCGTCTCGATGACGTCTGCCCGTCTTTCTCTTTGTCGCCGAGCTGCCCCCCCCCCGCCGTTGGCCGCTTCGTGACTTCCTGCCCTTTCCGTGCTCGTCATTCTTCCTCTTCTTTCTTTTCTGCTCTCGACTTTGTTGCGTCCAACGTGACAAGAAAGGCTCCAGCTTGCGTTTTTGCGCCCTCCAACTCGGCCAAGTCGGCCGGAACGCGTCAACACGGGCCGGGCCGAGCCGCGCTCGCGCGTGGTGACGCGGGCCCGCGCGTAGTCTGGAGAATGCCGGCAAGCGAGCCGGTGCCCCTCTTCTGTGCCGGTTGGGAGCACGTTTGAAAGGTTTTGATGCTCTCGCCCGCGAGCGGAAGCGAGCGCGCCGCCGTAGCCCAAATGCCGGCGTCCTTCTGTTGTCATCGCGCACGCGGGCCAGGCGCGCCCATTCCACTTGAACATGTGATGAAGTCCGCCACGCTGGAACGCTCCGTCTGCGGGCATCCCGCGGGGTTTCTGCAGGTGTTCTGGGAGGAGCGGGAACATTTTTCTCCCGGAACGGCTCAACATGCTGCTGGCCGACGCGCAATCATGACCGCGCCAGAGCCCAGCCGAGCCGGCTGCGACGTGCGTGTTGATTTTGTTGTTTTGGATCAAATGGTTTTCCCCCATTTTGCAATCCAACTCTGACTTCCACCTCATTCTAATGTGTCCCCCGCGCTTTCACACACACACACACACACACACACACACACACACACACACACACAAAATCACTGGGCTTTTGAGGCGAATGAAAGCAGTTGTTGGGTGGTTTTTGACCCGCCTCCACTTCCTGTCCCCATGTTGAGAATGGATGAGAACTTTTCTGTATATCCAGTTGACACTCGCCCATGTGTACCCACACGGATGTACACGTGTCTAAAAAAACAAACGCATGCGCACACACGACCTGATCCAGTTTACACACGCCAATCAGAGCAGCTCACTCGAATAAAAGAAACACACACCGACCCGAGCGGTGCCACTAAAGCTGCCAGACGGAGCCCATTTCAGATTTCTTAGAATACGAACAACTCGCGCGCGTGGAGCGCATCAATGGTGGAGCGGAAGCGCACTCCTGGGTGTGTGTGTACGCATGCATGTGCGCGCGTTCTGGGTACGGAGGGGGAGGGGCTCACTTGAGTTTTCGGAGCTCATCAAATATTGACTTTGATTGTCCACGCCGATGGAAGTGGAGCCCCGTGTCATTTTCGCATCTCGCCTGCTGAATTATTGATGACGTGTAGCCGAGCCAGCGAGCCACGTATACGCCCTCGCGCACGTTAGCATCATCACGCGATGCTAACGTGCGCGCGCGCACGGCCGCTCTTGTTTGTTGCTAATGAGCGGCACAGACGGCCGACTTCATCTCAAGAGGCGAACATGGCCGCCGCGTCAATACCACACTCGACCTCGCCGACTAATCATCCCTCCCTCGGTCTGTGTGTGTGTGTGTGTGTGTGTGTGTGTGTGTGTGTGTGCGCCCCCGCTTGCACGTTTATTGACACGAAAACTATTTTTCTTTGTTTAGTGCACGCTGTTCTCCTTGGTCACACTGTTGAGTGCGACCAATGCTTTGTCGCCGCCCGTCAAATGCAACTGTGACGCTAAGCTAACATCGCCCTCACGCCTTTTCATTGGGAGACAGTGAAATATACTCCACACATGTTTTGGGGGGAGGGGGCGACTATTGATTTTCCACCGCTGATGCCGCCGCCACAACTCCACGTGCGCGTGTTGTAATCCGAATCCAACCGCAGCGTTTCCCGTAATGTGGTCGGGTGACATCATCCAACGCACACAAACGCTCTGATTCATTCACTTCTGGAGGTCTGTAAAGCAGCGGTGGGCGAAGCACCGGCGGGGTGGGGCCGGGGGGCTGCCCTATGTCCTTGATTTAATAACAACTTGATTTTTATTGATTAAAGCGGCGAGAACACGGATCCCCTGCCCGGCACCGTCGGCGCTCCAGCGGCCCCCCGCGACGCCGCGTTTGTGTTGTTTACATGGCTGTTGTCCGTGGCAACCGGGACGATCAGATGAGGAAGCTTCGTGTTGGGCGACGGGAGGGTTGGGCCGCCTCGCCTCCTCGGAGCGGGAGATGATGTTGTCATCCATGGCGACGCACGTGACCAAGCGAAGCTTTGCCGACACGCTGGCGCGCTCGCGTCTCAGTTGTGCCATTCGATAAACTGCACAATGCAAACAAATTTTTTTTTTTGGACTGCACTGAACATGTACTGATGTGTTTTCGTTGGCCCGCTGTCGTAGGTTCTTCCTCAAGTTCTTCCTCAAGTGCAATCAGAACTGTTTGAAAAATGCGGGCAACCCGAGAGACATGCGGCGCTTCCAGGTCAGGCACGCCGCCGGGACCCGTCCGAAGGTAAGAGCGCCCCCTCCGTTTCGCAGGGGGCACGCGCGCGTTGTTCCATCTTACAAAACGTCAAAACGCCATTTTTACTTTGGTCTCGGACTGCGGTCCGCAGGCCGCCGTGCTTTTGTATCGATTGGGAAAAAAAAACAAAAGTTTTTTTTTTTGTCCTTCCAAACGCACGAGCATCCAGGCCAACGACAAAGACGGTAACGGAGGAGATGAAGAAAATGTCGTCGGAGCAAAACTTTTGTCTTCCTTTGCCCCCCCCCCCCGACAACTCCCACCCGTCTGGGACACGCCGCCAAGTCAAAGAAGCCCTCCCAGAGTCAGTCATCAAAGAGGCATCAGGCGACGTCCTCCCGGCCGACGTCCCGACTCGCCTTTTTCAAGTGCGCTGGAACGGAGCCGGCGGGCTGGCGGGCGGGCGGGCGGCTGGCGCTCATCTCCACGGGAGCCGCATGAAAGGAGCGCTCGCCTCCTCGGATGGCCCCGACGTGTTTGGCTGGCACCTGGCTGGGACGAAACAAACGGCGGCTGACACCAATCTGTCGCCGCCGACGCGTCAGCTTGCGATTGTTCGTTCCGGAGACGGCCTTGACACCGGCCAGGGAGGCGTGCCGGTCCTTGCGGTCCGAAGCCTCTCGGTCGTCATCTTCTGCGGCGCCGTCCTTTCATCTGCTTTTCAAAAAAGCCTCAACATCTGCCGCCGTGTTTGCCCCCCCACCAAAGCATCCTCCAGACGTGCTCCTCTTTTGCTTTGTGTCGGGGTCCGCGCGCAAAAGTCGCATCAACTGGTTTGTTTACCGTCCTGACAAAAGGCGGGAAATGAATGCGGCCGCCGCCGCCGCCGCCGCCCCGCTCGCTCTTTTGTCGGCCCGTCTCACCGCATGGCCGTCACGCCTCGCGCCGGGCAAACTCCCATCGCGATTTTTCTGATGGTGCGACCAAACCATCGACTGAAGCAATGATTTGACCTTATTACATATCAAAAAAGCCCCATCGATACAAGACGCGAGACGTGGCTCCATCCAACCGCCCGCAGGGGAAACACCCACCAGAGACATCCATCGCCAGAGCAGCGCCAGCAACCGACCGCTCGGCCGACCCATCCGTTGATGAAGAAACAAACAAACGAGCGGCTCATTGACCACTCAACCAAACCGATCAACCGACGAAGCAACCGGTCGACCGATCAATCCTCCCACCCGTTCACGACGCAACACATCAGTGGCCAAACTGACCCGCCAATCGAGCGGCTTGACAAATCAACCCACCCAGCCGTCGGTTGACGAAATAACTCACCAACCGACTTAATGACCAAGCAATCAGTCAGAACACCAACCGATCAATTGATTAGTCAACTGAGCAACCAATCAGTGGATGAGATTTTTTTAAAAAGCAAAAACCGACCAAGCGCAGCCGACGAAAGCGGCCGAGCAACCATGCCTTCAAGTGGCTGAAGAAGGAAGCGGCCGACCGATCGCGGCACCGACCGACCAAGAAAGGCGTCGCTCAACCGGTGGTCCGACGCCGTCAACGGACGAGCCGGCGAGCTCTCGCCGGTTGTCTCACTCCGCTGCTAAAGTGGACGCTCGCGAGCTATTTGAGCGGCGGGCGAAGGACGAGTTGTCATCGTAAATTCACCAGACAGCCAAGAGCGCCGAATGTCTTCCGCGGCCGACGAGGCTTGCCAAGAGCGGACTTGTGTTTACGCACGTTAGCACGCGCGACTCACGAAAAACGGACTCTGAGGCTTTGTGTGTGTGTGTGTGTGTGTGTGTGTGTGTTGTGAAGCAGCCACGCCGTGCATCAAAGCCATCAGCCCCAGCGAAGGGTGGACCACGGGGGGCGCCACCGTCATCCTCATCGGGGACAACTTCTTCGACGGACTCCAGGTGGTCTTCGGGACCATGCTGGTGTGGAGCGAGGTGAGGCCGTGGCCACGGTGGTCGCCGACGCGATGGGCGGGGCTCAACTGACGAGCGCGCACAGGCGTGCGAGCTTGTGCGTATTTGGCAAAAATAAGCTCGTTCTTGAAAATGGCCTCACCTGAGTTTTGGGCGGGGCAAGAGCTCACCCGAGCGTTGCCGTCCGCACGGCCGCCCGATGGCCGGATAGTCCTTCCTTCTTCCGTTTTTTCATTGGGCTCGACCTTGGGACACTGACGATTTCATTTTTCTTTCTCCGCGTGCGGCAAACCGTCGAGTTCAAGTACATGCCCAAAGGGGCTTTTTTGGGGGGTTTGTTTTCTACTCGCTGACCGGGCTCTTCCAAGCAGCGGAGATCAGAAAAAGCCTCCCCGTTCATTTGTGTCTTTGCCGAGTCCCGCGAAAGTGACGTCGGCAAGGCCGTCGCTTTGGGGAAGAGGCGCTCGCCATCCGCCCACCGGGAATTGCTGGTCCGACGCCGGCCGGCCTTTGTGCATATTGTTGGGCGGCGCGCTCTCGCTTTCGTTGTGGCTACTTTGGGCGCGGCGCCTTCCTCCAGCGTGTCGTTGTGCTCCGCAGCTGATCACGCCGCACGCCATCCGCGTCCAGACGCCCCCTCGCCACATTCCCGGGGTGGTGGAGGTCACGCTGTCCTACAAGTCCAAACAGTTCTGCAAAGGCGCGCCGGGACGCTTCGTCTACACAGGTGAACGCCAGCCTCCGCTTTGATCAACTTTCTTTCTTCATCAAGCAAGTGTCTCATCTGAGAGAAAGAAATGCTCGCAAAAAAAAAAAAAAACTCCGTGTCACGTCTCCACGGAGAATTCATCGGCAATGATTTGAACCAAAGCAACAAGAAGCGCTTCTGTACTTTTGCCAGACCAACGTCTGATTTGTATTTTATGTACGTGGAATGAATGAGCCAATTTGATGAGGGGGACGGAGGTCGCTCTGTCAAAGTGCCAATGATCAACATCATCATCATATTCCGAAGCAGAATGATATGAAAAGATTCATCGATAGACAGACTGAGAGGGAGCGTGCTTCATACATATGGACATATTTACATACGTATGTATGAAGCATGGACGGGCCTCAGTGTGGCACGCGGTGACCCGAACGTGTCCGAATGCGCGTGTCTGCGGCATCTGACCTCTGACTTTGGCGGACAATTGCATCATCATCCTCATCATCCTCATCCAAATGTCCTTGGACGCAGCTCAAAGGTCACATGTCAGCTGTTTAGACTGATAAGGAAATGTCAGCTCGTGGTCTGAAATGGGCCCCCCCCCCCCGGCCCCTCACCCGCCCGCCTTTGTCGCAACGGCCGCCCGCCGCTGCCGCCGCCTCTCGCGATGGGCCGAGCAGATTAAAGCCAGCCGGCTTTGTGGACCTGTCGGCGGCAAGACGTCCGGCCTCAGCCCCGAAGGCGTTCTTGCCGCGTCTTCCATGGCCGTTGCGTCTTCCTCCGACGTCATTTTCAAATCTGCCCAAAAGTCACACCCGCTCAGGTCAAGTCGATCAGCGGTGAGGAAACGCTCTTCTTGTGACTGACGATGTCACCTGCGCGACCCGAGTTTGACCCCGCCCCCCCGCCCCCTCCAACTCACTCAACTCGGGGGCGGTGGCGGCGGGGACGACGGGGACACGCTTGTGATGAAAGGAAGAGTTCCTTTGAAGTCATCTTTTGATTGACAGCCCGGCGGGACTTCCCGTGCGCTCAGTCGGGACCGATCACGTCGCCGGCCTTCGCGCACGCGCGTGCGCGCGCGTTCCAAGAGCTAACGTGGGCTAATTAGCGCTTTCTGCGGGGCCGTTTTAGGCCGCCGAGTATCATCTCGGGCGGGGAGGTGGAGGGGCAGCGTCGGCGGGAGGTGATTAGCTCCTAATTAGCAAGCACGCGGCGGGCGGGTGTTTTCCGCTCGGGTCCCGACAGCTGCGACAGGACCGCCGGCGCCAAGGTGCCACGGCGACTGATTTCCACGGCTTGCGGACGGGCGGCCTTTGATCCCAACGGATGTTCAGGATGACATCAAAGATACCTGGAAGCGGATGGCGCCGCGTCCTCGGCCGATCGGCCAAAAGTCACATCGGGGGGCGATCGGTCCCGCTCTCTCAAGAGGGAGAGCGAGACAGGAAGCGGACGTTGCTCGGCTCGCCGGGGCAACGTCCGCCTGCCTTTTGGTGGTCGCAAGCCAGACGACGCGGGCCGCGCGACGCGCCGGGTGGGACCCAAACTCCAGGCGGTCACCTTCAAGTCCCGATTTTCATTCAGGCCCAGGATGGTCTTTCGATCGAGTCGCATTCAGACTCAAAACAGTTTGACATTTTCGACATCCGGTCAGACTAAGATGGCGATCTGGAATCGGATCCAGGCGGACCGCCCTGCACTCCGAGTCGTCGTGAGATTGAGAGTCAGACTCCCGCCGATGTTTCCACTGCGATTTGGAGTTTGAAGATTGCGAGTCACCATTGGGCCTCGCGTCTGCGTCGGCTTCCGTTTGCTGCGGCGTCAGCGTTATTGACACCGCCCGGCGGGGCGGAAACGCCGTTTGGGAAACGGGGTTGATTGTTTTCCGCCAAACGTCTCTGCGGGATTCCGATATACGGCGGCGCAGAAATCCGGCGCGCTCCACGGACGCTTTGTCACTCTGCGCGTTTGTTTCCCCCCCTCCCCCTACCACGTCGCTTCTTCATCCTCTTGCGCCCGCCGCCGGCCGCCTCGCCTCGCCTCGCCTCGCCTCGGACAAATTAGATTTAACGTGGCTGCGGGTCGGCGTTCCCGGGGAAAGCCAAACAAATATTGTTCTCATGCTAATAGCGTCGGCGGGCCGCCCGCCCGCTTGGTATTCATGAAGGCCGCACTTATGCAAATGGGCACGAGGAGGCGGCCGGCGCGCGGCCTGTCAATCATCGTTAGCCTCTACAAGCGCTAACGCTGACAAAGACCCTCTGACAAATTGTCCCCAAAGTCAAATTTGACAGCGTTTTATGATTAATGGACTTGATCGGCGCGAAGGAGTCGCCGCCGACTCCTCCGGAAGTAGATTTGAATTAGGAGCCGCTCATTTCAACAAGCGCTGGCTTCATCGGATGACTTCATCATGGCCTTGGCAACAGCGCATCTCGCCAAACCGCTGTGCCTGTGCCTGTGCGTGTGTGTGTCTGTGTCTGTGTGTGCGCGTGCGTGCGCTTGGACAGCCTTGAACGAGCCCACCATCGACTACGGCTTCCAGAGGTTACAGAAGGTCATCCCTCGCCACCCCGGGGACCCCGAGAGGTTACCGAAGGTCAGTGTGCTTTCTTGCCGGCTTCCACCGTCATCCGGATTTCCATTCGGTGGAACGTTCGGACGGACGAGTCATTTCATCGTGACGTTTCCATCGGCGCAAAGATTTCGGCTCGGGTTGAGATTCAGATTCGGATTTTGAGAGATTGACTTTCACCGCGTTTAAAATCCGCTTTCAACATTGCGATCCCGTCCCGATTTGGACGGCTTCATTGGGATTTTCGGGGGGAGCGCCGTTGGATCGACATTCGAATGAAGATTTTTTTTCAGATTGAGATTCAGGCGTCTCAAAATCCAAAGCAAGATGGCGGACGCTGCCCCTCTACACGGGTAACCCGCCAACGGCTTGCGGCATTTGGACGGCGTTTGGAATTTGCCAAACTTTCTCTTCATCAGCCTTGAACGAGCCCACCATCGACTACGGCTTCCAGAGGTTACAGAAGGTCATCCCTCGCCACCCCGGGGACCCCGAGAGGTTACCGAAGGTCAGTGTGCTTTCTTGCCGGCTTCCACCGTCATCCGGATTTCCATTCGGTGGAACGTTCGGACGGACGAGTCATTTCATCGTGACGTTTCCATCGGCGCAAAGATTTCGGCTCGGGTTGAGATTCAGATTCGGATTTTGAGAGATTGACTTTCACCGCGTTTAAAATCCGCTTTCAACATTGCGATCCCGTCCCGATTTGGACGGCTTCATTGGGATTTTCGGGGGGAGCGCCGTTGGATCGACATTCGAATGAAGATTTTTTTTCAGATTGAGATTCAGGCGTCTCAAAATCCAAAGCAAGATGGCGGACGCTGCCGTTGCGGTCGCCGGTCGACACGGAGCGCCCGCGCGCGCGCTCATTGAAGGCACGCGCGCGCACGCGTGTGATTGCGGAGGCGAGCGGCGGCGGCGGCAGATTGCGTTCGGTGTCGGCGCGGCGGCGATGCGGCCAATGAGGGCAGACGCGCGGTGACAGTGAACGCCGCCGCCGCCAAATTGAAGCCATTCATCAAACGGCGACGCGCCACAAAAAGCCGTTTGTTTGTAAATTGATGCTAATCGCCGGCGCGGGTCGCGCCGCCGCCGTGGCCGGCCGTCGCCTCTTCCTCGGCATGAATATTTATGCCTTCCGCTTCCTCTGAGGCGCAGGGGAAAGCTCTTTGTCGGCGCGGCGGCGGGTCAACGGCGCCCGTCGCTTCCCGTTTGCCGCCGCGCCTCGGCCACGCTTTTCCTTGTCCGCTCAGCCCTCGCGCGGCGGACCGTGACGCGCCGGGCGGCTCAGACGTCGGTGACGGGATCCGACGCGGAGGCGTCAAAAGCCCGCTCGCGGCTTGCCGTGCGCCGTGCGCGATTGGCAGGCGCTCGCACGCCGCCGGCCGGCTCCGGGAGCTCGTCGGGCACTTGCGGCCGGAGCCGAACTTTCCGGACCTGCGTTTGATGCCTCTGATTGGCGTACGCCTCGCGAGATGTCGTTACATGAGAAGAGCCATCAGTTGTCAGTGCGGCGGAACAAACAACGGAACCAAAACGGTGTCGGGTTCCAT